GGAGCTAATTTCTCTCACTTTTCACTGAGCAAGCAGGATGTCTTAGAAACTGAATCATGTTGAGTCAAAATCAAAACGCAAATCTCATGATTTTCATGAAAAACCTATCAATTTAAGATTTTATTAAATTTAAGATTTGATCAAATTGCAGTATTCAGATTCCTGAGTGCTAACCATTACACCAGGAACCACCTTATGAACTAGTTTCATGACACGAGTGAAAACTGAGAAAAAGTGAAGGCAAATCGAGCCAAACGGCAGAGGGGACATGGGCAGGTGTAACTGTGGCATCTAGTAATTCAGCACGATGTTGAAATTCAGATCAGTGATTGCAGATTTAGTAATTGTCATGCGGAGTGATTTTGGGGGGACAGGACTCAATGTTGACTCACTGTTCAGGCTGCCATAGAAGCTGAAACATTCTTGATTTGAAGCTTTCGTGACTGCAGGAATCTAGACTCTTTGCTTCTTTCGGTAAAGTCACGTGGGTAGAAATGAAGAAACATTATCACGACGTTTCGATAGCAACACAAGCGATCGTGTTCAGGTGAAAGTCGCGATTGCCGCGATGTCTGCTGCCAGCAGCACGAGGCTTGTGTTGCTGTCGACACGCCGTGATTGATTTTGTTTTACTTCTACCCACGTGACTTTACCGAAGACACGTTCCTTCGGAGTGGGCAGGTAGGAACTTGGCTCAACCAATCCGGGAGGGGCGCACCTCTGGTTGGCTGCTGGCTCGTGGTCACGTGACGCACTTCAACCAATCCGAGAGCGTACGTGTTTGGGAGGGGCCATGCACGACAGACAGACAAATAATCCCTGGTGGGCAGCAGTGTGGAACTGCTGTTCCTACCTGCTGTGTACAAGATCACGTGACTTGAGGTAGCCAGGTAGCCAGCCCCCTTCACTATCGGCCCCTCCCCTAGACCCCTCCCCTGACCCCCCCTCCCTTAGGCCCCTCCCCTGACCCCCCCCCCTCCCTCAGGCCCCTCCCCTCTCCGTACCCGGCAGTAGGTCTCCACCAATCAAAGAGCTGTGTGTATTATATATTTATTTATGCACGACAGACAGTCAGACAGACACGTGATCCCTGGTGGGCAGCAGTGTGGACATTGTTCCTGCTGCCTGTAGCACGTGTCTACCTACGTCACTCCATGGGCAGTGCTGTCAATGGGCGGTGCTTATCAATTCTACAGATTGTGATTCGCGCTCACGTGTTCTCCTATCCGCGCTACGTTTTCTAAAAGCGCTCTGCCAAGGCTCCACGCGATCACAGCCGCACGCGTTCGCCTGCCTGTGGTAGAGGCACGAAACGTTGGATTTCCGCCACCCCCACCACATGAGGACACAGAAAAGAGCTCAAGACCCCCCCCCCCCCCCCCAGACATCTACGCAGCGTTGCGCCGGTGAGTGACGTGTTGAGGCCTTGCCAACTTGATATTTGTCTTCTTGGTTATTCGGTAAAGTCATCACGTAGAAGGGAAGTAATAAATAATAAAAATAAAACATAATAAAATAATTCTCACGACGTTTCGGCCACAGCGCAAGCAGCCGTCTTCAGGTGAAGAATGAGACACTGCCAAGCTAGGAGCTTGTATATAAGCTGGGTTGGAGGTGGAAGAAGAAGAGAGCCTTAACAAAATAATGTGCATATCAAGAGGAATCTGCACATTCTTTTGTTAAAGCGCCAAGCTCGGCAGTGTCTCATTCTTCACCTGAAGACGGCTGCTTGCGTTGTAGCCGAAACGTCGTGAGAATTATTTTATTACGTTTTATTTTTATTATTTTATTACTTCCATTCTACGTGACTTTACCGAAAGAACCAAGAAGATGAATCCCTGCAGTCGCGAAAGCTTTAAATCGAAATGTAACTTGATATTTCCCCCCGTGGCAATTGTTTCACACCACACAGCACTCGCGCAGACGTGCAAGTGCTGTGTTGGTCTCTCTCTATCCTGCAGGGTGTTCTCACTCGGGGGCTCTTTAAGTGATGGGAGAAACCTGGAGCTGTGGCTGATGCAGCGTTGCCCTGTTTGCTGGGGATAGTCAATGTTGGTTTTTAAATCCTTTATATTAAGTTCGCTTGCTTGCGTGCTTGCGTGCTTGCTTGCTTGCTTACGACCGTGCAAATCTTTTGGTCGTTTTTTAACCCCCTTCCCGTGATCCAATCGAGCTGACATTTTGCACACAGACTCGTGCGAGACAAGTAATGTTTGTGAAAAAATAATTTCTAAAATTTTACACTTCTTAGGGAAAACAAATTAAATATTTAATTACCAATTGTTTAATACTGGCAGACAATCATCTGACCCATAGGTGGCAGCCATCCCAAGCCAGAGGATGAGATGACTCTAGCAGCCACGCATATAAAGGATTTATAGTGAAAAACTTTGTTTTTACGGGTTTTGCTTATTGTTGATCTGGTTTCAAAAATCGGTGCCACTGGATGAAATGCAGCCGATGTGAAATGTAAACATTCTGCTGCTCAACGCAGGAGCACGTGACCATCAACTATGAGCGTGCATCCAAGTGTCCCTTGCAAAGGAGGTCTTTGACTGGTAGGAACCCACTGGTTGCACCAGCCCACAGGGGATTATTGTGTCCGTCCGTCGTGCAGGGAGGGGTTGGGTGGGGAGGGGCTGGGTGGGGGGTGGGAAGGGTAGGGGCTGGGTAGAGAGGGGCTGGGTGGGGGGTGGGAGGGGTGGGGCTGGGTGGGGAGGGAGGGGCTGGGTGGGGAGGGGCTGGTCACCCCGTGGTGCCCTTATAAAACTCAACGTTTAACCTACTCACGCCGGCTTGTGCCCGCCCTCACAGTCGGCCATATTTGCGGAATACACCACGCCGCCGTTGACCCTGCAGGCCATTGACCGAGCAACCCAACGTTCCTACCAGCTCCCTCCGCAGGAATGTGTAACCTGGCACAGTTGTCACCTGGTGTACTGGAGGTGGTGGGTTTGATACCAACTGACACTACCTGCTGTATATTTGGAGTTGACGTGCCTCACTCCCCGTGGTCACGTGGAATTTACTCCGGGTCCTCCGGTTTTTCCCTCAGCATTTAGAAACATGCGTTTAGAGTGCCGTGTTTTGTCTATACTGCAACATCAAACATTGGCTAGTTTTATTAGTATACTAGCTGGACTACCCCCGGCTTCGCCCGGGACTTGGATTCACCACACCCGGCCGCCTTTGTCTCCCCAGTGGCGATGTTCACACACCACACTAGTTACTCGTTTGAGGCTGAGTCGACCTAGGGGAGGCCCAGGACCGGTTCAAATAATCGTCACCGTTGGTGGCCGTGAGCGGGAATCGAACTCGGGTCGCCGGGTTCGTAGCGCGGCGTAGCGCTGACCACTGCGCTACACATGCGTGGGTCACGTGACAGATGTGACGTCACAGTTCACTTGCTGTGCAAAAAAATCTCTGCATTATTGAGCTCCCCCCCCCCCCCAAAAAGTGTATTTTTAATAATTTCTGCACGGTGTACAGTCTGGAAAGTAAAGCACCCACATGGCAAATTTCCAGTTCGTTGCATGTCGGGAAATACGCTAAACATTTTGAACAGACACATAATATTCACAACTTTGCCTTTAATATATATGTAGATATTTGTAAAGTGATTTGTTTACTCTTACTGTACTCTGCACTCACACCGTGTTTTTGTATTGTGTTTGTTGTCATGTTCTGACCCAGTGTCCCAGCTGGACATGTGTGAAAAAGAGCTTTATAGCGCTTCGGATTCATCCTCTTGCAGTTTAAATGCTTCTAATTCCTCCTGCTCCCCCTCCTACTCTGCTCCCTCCCTTCTACGCCCTCCTCCTAGCCAAGTGAAGGAAGCCCCCGGTCTGACCATCTGTCCCCCCCCCCCCCCCCCCCCTGATGGAGGCCTTCCCCATCACCGCCCTTCTTCTGGCGTTGTTGTTGTTGGCTGTGCTGGGTGACCACCGCCACGCCCTGCCCCGTGACCGTGAGTAGCAAACTGCACCGCTACCCCCCTTGAGACGATGCCCCCTCTCAACGCTACACCCACCAAATCGTCCACTAAAGACTATCAACTAAATCTTGACTTGAAGCTTTCGTGACTGCAGGAATTCATATTCTTTGGGGTTTTCGGTAAAGTCGCGTAGATAGGTTCAAAGAAAATAGCAAAAAACTTAAACTACGACGTTTCATCTTCTTGGTTCTTTTGGTAAAGTCACGTAGAATGGAAATAATAAAAAAATAAAAATAAAACAATCAAATTTCGATTTAAAGCTTCTTTCGTGACTGCAGGGATTCATCTTCTTGGTTCTTTCGGTAAAGTCGTCACGTAGAAGCAAACCAATAAATAATAAAAATAAAACATAATAAAATAATTCTCACGACGTTTCGGCCACAACGCAAGCAGCCGTCCTCAGGTGAAGAACAGGTCTGTCGGGGAGACAGCGTCTGAATGTCTTCTCGACAGACCTGTTCTTCACCTGAGGACGGCTGCTTGCGTTGTGGCCGAAACGTCGTGAGAATTATTTCATTGTTTTATTTTTATTATTTTATTATTTCCATTTTACGTGACTTTACCGAAAGAACCAAGAAGATGAATCCCTGCAGTCACGAAAGCTTTAAATCGAAATTTTACGACGTTTCTATCGCAACACAAGCGGTCGTCTTCAGGATAAGGAGGGTTAGCTTCCAAGGCAAACTCTTTGTAAGGGTTTCAAATGGGCTTCGCCCAAATATCAGCAGCCAATGGCAATGCAAGTGGTGGGCAGCAAACCCGACAGCGGTTGGTATTCCACCAATCAAAGGGCTGCCAGGTGCAAATTGGCATGTTAGTGAGAGATTAGCATGTTGATTGAAAATCGTTAAGCCGCGCGAATTGGCTGTGTTGGTGTGAATCTGCTATTGCCACTGCTGCAGCCACAGCTTTGTTAACCCATCAATCTCTGGCAGGTACTCGCCCTCCGTTCATCACCCGGTATTCGCCGGAGGATTACGTAGTGGACCCGCAGGGCGAGATCGTCATGGAGTGTGAGGCTCATGGCAACCCAACGCCCAAGTACGCTACCTCCCCACCTCCCTTGTTGTTGTATATGTCGGGTTTTGAAATTTGTATAAAATAATAAAATACTCTTAGTTTTTTCGGTAAAGTCACGTAGGTAAAAAATGAAATAAAATTAATAAAAATAAAGGAACAAGAATCACGACGTTTCGGAGGCAACACAAGCTTCCGTCTTCAGGTGAAACGGTCACAGCAAAATATATCTGTATCAAGTGATACAGATATATCTTGATACAGATAATTTGCTGTGACCGTGATTTTTATTCTTTTATTTTTATTAATTTTAATTTCACTTTTTTTTACCTACGTGACTTTACCGAAAAAACTAAGAGTATGAATCCTTGCAGTCACGAAAGCTTCAAATCTCGAAGAAAAAATAATAAAAATTAAATGAAAATGTTAAAATGTCGAATTAACCGAAAGTATGCAAATTTATGTACTTATGCGTTGTGGCCGAAACGTCGTGAGAATTATTTTATTATGTTTTATTTTTATTATTTTTTATTATTTTATTATTTCCCTTCTACGTGACTTTACCGAAAGAACCAAGAAGATGAATCCCTGCAGTCACGAAAGCTTTACATCGAAATGTTATTATGTTTTATTTGTATTATTTTATTATGTTTTATGTTTATTATTTTATTATGTTTTATTATTATTTTATTATGTTTAATATTTATTATTTTATTATGTTTTATTTTTATTATTTTATTATGTTTCATGTTTATTATTTTATTATGTTTTATTATTATTTTATTATTTTCCTTCTACGTGACTTTACCGAAAGAACCAAGAAGATTATTTGACCTCTCATGGCTTGATACCGTACCGCTTGTGTAGTTCTGATTCTGTAAGTGACTCAAGGTATGTCTGCAGCAGTGTTCACAGAGGCTCTCTCTCTCTCTATGGGATACATTTTATCTTGGTTATGGGTGATGGACCTGTTCCGCCTTGTTTATCCTTGTGGTTGACTCTTGGTCGAATACTTCATAATTATTATTCTTTGGTTCTTTCGGTAAAGTCACGTATAAAGAAAAAATAATAAATTAAATAATAGCATACGACGTTTCGATTGCAACACAAGCAATCATCATCAGGTATAATGAAATAGCGACATAAAATCTAACCAGAAAAAATTATAGACAGACATATAAGCAGACAGATATCACCAAGATACACAGAGCGGGCAACACAGGTACAGAGAGGGGTGATCGTCTCTGTGGGGTGGCCTTAAATAGACAGAGGGGGGCGGAGGCAGCGAGAGGGAGGGGGTTAGAGACGAAATTTACATGTCAATGAGTATAACAAAAAGGAGTGAGCAGGCTTAGGGGGAGAAAGAGACACACTAAAATTAAATAACCTAGCAAAGTATCGAAATGTTATGTAAAACGACACAGAGAGTCGGTCAACACACGATAGCTCCAAAGTTAAGATTCATAATTATTATTTGGTTTGTGTTTATCCAAGATTTGTGATTTAGCATCCAGGGATTTGTGCTGTTTTACTCGAGTTATATTTTGATGTCCTGAGGCGAGAGATCTAACTAAAATTTCACTTCAGCTTTCTTGACTGCTAGAATTCATATTCCTTGGTTTTTGGTAAAGTCACGTAGATAGCAAGATACAACAAGAAACAATGTGAGGTAATTAATCAATCAAGGCCACCAATGTGACTGCAGTGTAGTTTTTAATCTGGGTGAGTGTGTTGGCAGACTATGATGTCGACTTAATCTACGTCGCTCAGTTTTGAACTTTTAACCGTTGTATTAAGAGAAACGAAAATAAACAATAAAAAAAATCTTATTTCCCTCATTAAAATGCACATCAATTTATAACATTTTTGACATGCGTTTTTCTGGATTTGTTGTCGTTATTCTGTCTCTTACTGTTCAAATAAACCTACCACTAAAATTATAGACTGATCATTTCTTTGTCAGTGTGGCAAACGTACAAAATCAGCAGGGGATCAAATACTGTTTTCCCCTCACTGTATATACAACACCCTCTCCTCTCCTCCCCACCCCTCCCTCCCTCTCCTCCTTCCATCTCTCACATCCCTCCCTCTCTCCCCCCCTCCCGCTTGTGCTTGAGGTTTCGGTGGAGTAAGGACGGCCGGCGCTTTGACCCGAACGGCGACCCTAACGTGAAGCGGCGTGGAGATGGCTCGGGCACCTTCACCGTGGACATGGCGGCGGTGGTGGCGGCGTCCGCGGAGTCCGACAGCGAAGCCGCAGAGGCCTACGAGGGCGTCTACCGCTGCTCAGCGGAGAACCAGGACGGCACAACGCTAACCCCAAACATCACCGTGCGGCTGGCGCGTAAGTGGGTGGGGGGGGGACGCCACTCTTGGACCGTGGACTACCACACAGAACGCTAACCACTGTGCCACCACTCACACACACAGAACGCTAACTACTGTGCCACACACACAGCGCTAACCACTGTGCCACCACTCACACACACACAGAACGCTAACTGCTGTGCCACACACACAGCGCTAACCACTGTGCCACCACTCACACACACACAGAACGCTAACCACTGTGCCACCACTCACACACACAGAACGCTAAGCGCTACGCCACACACACAGTGCGCGGTCGTTCTGCCGGCTGTAGTAATTGTACAGCAATCAACTGCTGTTACTGAACCGGCCCTGGGGCTCCCCAAGGTTGAGTCGGCCTCAAGCGAGTCCCCGGTGCGATGTGCGGTAAACTTTGCCACCGGGGAGACAGAGGCGGCCGGGCGTGGTGCTGATCACCCGGTGACGCAGTGGAGGGGGTGGCTACACAAGGGGGGATCTTTGTCTTCACAGGTGCTACTACTCACTGACAGCACTTACCCCAACGGTCTTTCGGTAAAGTCAGGTAGGTATAAAATAAAATAAATCACGACGTTTCGGGCCCAACACAAGCGACCGTCACCAGGTGGGACAACCACAGCAAGAAACAATTGGTGAAGTGGGCAAAAGGGCTGCTGGAACACGACCACCAGGCCCTCAAGATGAATGGGTACTCGGACTGCATTATTCGCAAAGCTGTTTCTCCAACCATGGAGAAACAACCCCTTGAGATGCCGATCAAAACCATCACGTTACCATACATAGCAGGCGTTACCAAAAATATTTCCAAGATCTTAAACAAACACAAGATCCAGGTCCGATTCAGTACAGTACACAACATCCGTGATCTAATCCCATCGGTGAAGGATGTCATTCCTGACTTGCATTATCCTGGAGTCTGCAAACTAAGTTGCACCTGTGGTGGCTGTTGCATTGGGAAATGAAACGGCATGTGTCGGACCGTGTTCGCGAGCACAAGGCAGATCTGAAACACGGCAGAACTAATTCCTCCGCCGTGGCTGACCATTGCTATAACGCTGTGGGCTCTCATGATATTGTTTTTTCCGAGACCAAGGTACTCTGAAAACCTTCGGGCTACGATCAAAGGTTTGTTCATGAAGCCATGCAGATATCTAAACATAGACATAACTTCAACCGGGAAGATGGATACAAATTGAGCAATCATTGGAAGGATGTTATTAACCAGGTCAAACCTTCACTGCTTCATGGTGTTGCCTTCATATCCGCATCTCCAGTTTCTTCAGCTTCCCACTCCCAGCCCCGCCCACTTCCCCCCCCCCCCCCCCCCCCCCGGCATTTCCTTGCTCGTTTCTTAATCCCTCTAGCGGCACTCCACTCCCCCTACCCCCCACCCCTCCCTGTCTCTCCTCCTTGGCTCCTCCCCCGTCTCTTACCTATGTAGAGGAGTAAAATGGGGACGTGACGTCAGGTGTGCCGTTCAGTGCGATGACGTCACGTCTCCCGGGGTACTTAAGAGATACCCCGTGACGTGAGCGGGGTCACTGTGGGAACGGGTCGAGTAAGCAGGGTGAAGAGGGGACCAGGGGTAGACAGAGGGATCGAGTGGTGAGTCTGGGGAGAAGCCGGTGGTAGCCGTAGAGGTGCTTCTCTCTCCAGTCGGTGGAGTCGGCAGAGTCCCTGATCCGACACGAGAGAGACCGGAGCTCGCCGGCAGGGACCCGCACTTAGAGTAGGACCCCCCTAGCCCCTGGGAGTTGTGCACCCTGCTGTGTAATATAGATAAGCTTTAATAAACCCTGGGAGTTGTGCACCCTGCTGCGTGTGTATTGTAACAGCTTTAATAAACCCTGGCGGAAGCCCCTAACTTACCTCCGTCTCCGAGTACGTCCGTCGGAACTACTCAACACCTATATAGCCTCTTGTCACGGCAACCCTTTTGCCCACTTCAGCAATTGTTTCTTGCTGTGGTTGTCCCACCTGGTGACGGACGCTTGTGTGTTGCGCCCGAAACGTCGTGATTTTATTAATTATATACCGACGTGACTCTACCGAAAGAACCAAAGAGTATGGATCCCTGCAGTCACGGAAACTTCCAATCGAGGTCTAAGGCTACATGGGTGGTTTTGTCTGTGTCCTGCAGGTGCTCCCCTGTGGCCCCGTGAACAGCTGGAACCCGTCATGGCCACCGAGGGCCTGCCGGCCGTGCTGCGCTGCCGCCCTCCCCAAGGCTTTCCTCCTCCCATCGTCTTCTGGATGGACGGCTGTGAGTACCACGGTGGCTGTGAGATGTTGACTACCTCGCCTGATGCAAGGAAGTTGTGGGTTCGATCCCGACCCAGACGACGCCTGCTGATATATATTTGTAGTTTGCGTGTCTCTCTCTCATCATCATCACGGTGGCTGTGAGATGTTGACTACCTCGCCTGATGCACAGGAAGTTGTGGGTTCGATCCCGACCCAGACGACGCCTGCTGCTGTATATTTGTAGTTTGCGTGTCTCTCTCTCATCATCATCACGGTGGCTGTGAGATGTTGACTACCTCGCCTGATACACAGGAAGTTGTGGGTTCGATCCCGACCCAGACGACGCCTGCTGCTGTATATTTGTAGTTTGCGTGTCTCTCTCTCATCATCATCACGGTGGCTGTGAGATGTTGACTACCTCGCCTGATACACAGGAAGTTGTGGGTTCGATCCCGACCCAGACGACGCCTGCTGCTGTATATTTGTAGTTTGCGTGTCTCTCTCTCATCATCATCACGGTGGCTGTGAGATGTTGACTACCTCGCCTGATACACAGGAAGTTGTGGGTTCGATCCCGACCCAGACGACGCCTGCTGCTGTATATTTGTAGTTTGCGTGTCTCTCTCTCATCATCATCACGGTGGCTGTGAGATGTTGACTACCTCGCCTGATACACAGGAAGTTGTGGGTTCGATCCCGACCCAGACGACGCCTGCTGCTGTATATTTGTAGTTTGCGTGTCTCTCTCTCATCATCATCACGGTGGCTGTGAGATGTTGACTACCTCGCCTGATGCACAGGAAGTTGTGGGTTCGATCCCGACCCAGACGACGCCTGCTGCTGTATATTTGTAGTTTGCGTGTCTCTCTCTCATCATCATCACGGTGGCTGTGAGATGTTGACTACCTCGCCTGATACACAGGAAGTTGTGGGTTCGATCCCGACCCAGACGACGCCTGCTGCTGTATATTTGTAGTTTGCGTGTCTCTCTCTCATCATCATCACAGTGGCTGTGAGATGTTGACTACCTCGCCTGATACACAGGAAGTTGTGGGTTCGATCCCGACCCAGACGACGCCTGCTGCTGTATATTTGTAGTTTGCGTGTCTCTCTCTCATCATCATCACGGTGGCTGTGAGATGTTGACTACCTCGCCTGATGCACAGGAAGTTGTGGGTTCGATCCCGACCCAGACGACGCCTGCTGCTGTATATTTGTAGTTTGCGTGTCTCTCTCTCATCATCATCACGGTGGCTGTGAGATGTTGACTACCTCGCCTGATACACAGGAAGTTGTGGGTTCGATCCCGACCCAGACGACGCCTGCTGCTGTATATTTGTAGTTTGCGTGTCTCTCTCTCATCATCATCACGGTGGCTGTGAGATGTTGACTACCTCGCCTGATGCACAGGAAGTTGTGGGTTCGATCCCGACCCAGACGACGCCTGCTGATATATCTTTTTACTCTTTTGTTCTTGCGGTAAAGTCACGTGGGTATAAAATAAAATGAATCACGACGTTTCGATCGCAACACAAGCGGTCATCCTCAGGCGGAAAAAAATATAACCCGGCAGTGGAACTGCTGAACCAGCGAGAGAGCTGTTACAACAAGAGGTTATATATGTGGCGATGGGCAAGCAAGCGGGGTCTGAGCTGGAAAGGAATTCCACCCCCGGACGCAAGCACGTCAGTTGTGTTAATGGGGGAGTCATCTTCTTGGTTCTTTCGGTAAAGTCACGTAGAAGGGAAGTAATAAAATAATAAAAATAAAACATAATAAAACAATTCTCACGACGTTTCGGCCACAACGCAAGCAGCCGTCCTCAGGTGAAAACCAGGTCCGTCGAGGCGACAGAGTCTGAATGAAACAGCACACGGGCTTAGAGCATATATATAAGCTGGGCGCATTGACAAAGGAATTTGCATATCAACAGGAATTTAGCATATTTATGGGAAATGCAGGAATGTAATTAGTACTGCATATGCATGTGCATTATGCAGGATTAACAGCATCAAAGGGAGCTGCAGTTACTGCTGCTGCAGCAGTTGCTGCTGCTGCTGCAGTTTCTGCTGCTGCTGCAGTTACTGCTGCTGCTGCAGTTGCTGCTGCTGCTGCACTTGCTGCTGCTGCTGCACTTGCTGCTGCTGCTGCACTTGCTGCTGCTGCTGCACTTGCTGCTGCTGCAGTTGCTGCCTTATCCATTTTAATATAACACTATGTATTATTCTACCCACCCTAATGTGTATCATACTGCTATATGTTTACTGTACAATTACGACACCATACATTACTCTGCACACTGCACCATGCCAGTGAGTGGAACGCGGTCTGAAAGTCACCGTTAACGTGAACACAATCAGTTAAGATCCGAAATGGTTTATTACGTCCTTCCAATCATTCCAATCATTGGAAGGACGTAATAAACCATTTCGGATCTTAACTGATTGTGTTCACGTTAACGGTGACTTTCAGACCGCGTTCCACTCACTGGCATGGTGCAGTGTGCAGAGTAATGTATGGTGTCGTAATTGTACAGTAAACATATAGCAGTATGATACACATTAGGGTGGGTAGAATAATACATAGTGTTATATTAAAATGGATAAGGCAGCAACTGCAGCAGCAGCAAGTGCAGCAGCAAGTGCAGCAGCAGCAGCAAGTGCAGCAGCAGCAGCAACTGCTGCAGCAGCAGTAACTGCAGCTCCCTTTGATGCTGTTAATCCTGCATAATGCACATGCATATGCAGTACTAATTACATTCCTGCATTTCCCATAAATATGCTAAATTCCTGTTGATATGCAAATTCCTTTGTCAATGCGCCCAGCTTATATATATGCTCTAAGCCCGTGTGCTGTTTCATTCAGACTCTGTCGCCTCGACGGACCTGGTTTTCACCTGAGGACGGCTGCTTGCGTTGTGGCCGAAACGTCGTGAGAATTGTTTTATTATGTTTTATTTTTATTATTTTATTACTTCCCTTCTACGTGACTTTACCGAAAGAACCAAGAAGATGAATCCCTGCAGTCACGAAAGCTTTAAATCGAAATTTGATGGGGGAGATTAGGGAGAGAGAGAGATTAGCATGAATGAGCTTCCGTCGCCGCATAAGAGTATCATGCCCTCATATGCGCACAACAGCAGTGTTGAGAGATTAGCACCATGAGAGTGTACTCCAAAGGGCATGTGAAACTGAGAGTGCAATCCAAAGGACATGTGAGAGGTCTAAGAGAGAGGCATAGAGAGAGAGAGACACAGAGTCGGTAATAACAGCTGACATAGGCAGGTAGGATGGAAACATCACAGTCAGTTAAGACTTTACCTGGTTAATAACGTCCTTCCAATGATTGCTCAGTTTGTACCCATATTCTCGGCTGAAGTTGTGTCTGTGTTGATACATCTGGATGGCTTCATGAACAAATCTCTGAACGTAGCCGGTAGGTTTGCAGAGTACCTCCGTCTTGGAAAAATCAATTTTGCGTGAGCCCACAGCGTTAAAACAATGATCAGCAACGGCAGATGTATTTGTCCTACCGTGTTTCAGATCCGCCTTGTGTTCACGAACGTGGTCCGAGACATGCCGTTTCGTTTCCCAAATGTTACTGCTGCCACAACCACAACTCGGTTTGTAGACACCAGGGTACTGCATGGCAGGAATCATTTACAGATGGGATTAAATCACGGATTTTGTGTACTGTGTTTAAACGAACCTGGATCTTGTGTTTGTTTAATATATTGGAAATCTTTTTGGTAACCCCTAGCGCCTGCTGCTGTATATTTTGAGTTTGCGTGTCTCTCTCTCTCATCATCATCATGGTGGCTAGGAGATGTTGACTACCTCGCTTGGTATACAGGAGGTCGTGGGTTCCATCCCGACCCTGACGCCTGCTGCTGTATATTTGGAGTTTGCGTGTCTCTCTCTCTCATCATCATCACGGTGGCTAGGAGATGTTAACTACCTCGCCTGGTCTACAGGAGGTCGTGGGTTCCATCCCGACCCTGACGCCTGCTGCTGTATATTTGGAGTTTGCGTGTCTCTCTCATCATCATCACGGTGGCTAGGAGATGTTGACTACCTCGCCTGGTACGCAGGAGGTCCTCTTTTGTACAACTGCTGATGTAGATGCAGACTCAATGACTACAATTTCACAATGAGGTGGGCAAGCCAGGCAAGCGAAGCAGAGTGCATCATTGCCGTGATGTCTCCGTCCTATTTGTGGACCGGAAGCAGTGCGGCGTTATCCGTTGTACGGTGTCTCTTCTGGATGAACACATTTTCACCACTTTTGCAGGCATCCTCCACATCTGCCGCTGCTTCCATGATTTGCATGGCGGATGATGATGAAGGCATAAGCAGTACTAATCACATACCTGCATTTCCCATTATCCCATCCCTTTGATGCTGCTAATCCTGCATAATGCACGGGCATGAGTAGTACTAATCACATACCTGCATTTCCCATAAATATGCTAAATGCCTCTTGATATGCATATTCTTTTGTCAAGGCGCCCTTTCCCCCCTCCCAACCCAGCTTAAATACATGCTCCAAGCTCGTGTGCTGTTTCATTCAGACGCTGTCGCCTCGACAGACCTGGTTTTCACCTGAGGACGGCTGCTTGCGTTGTGGCCGAAACGTCGTGAGAATTATTTTATTGTTTTATTTTTATTATTTTATTACTTCCCTTCTACGTGACGACTTTACCGAAAGAACCAAGAAGATGATGAAGCGATTTAGTGGTTTACATCTTTGATAAAGAGCTGCATCGAATTCCTCCTTCCACAGTCCTAAATAAAGATTCTGATCCTCTTGATCCCCCCCTGTCCCCTTGTCCCCCTTACCCCCGGGGTGCCGCTGCCGCTGCAGCCATTGAGAGAGTGCAGCTGAATGGGCGAGTATCCCAGGGCCTGGACGGGGACTTGTTCTTCGCCAACGTGCTGCTGAGTGACGGGGACGACTACGTGTGCTACGCTCACTTCCCGCACGCGGGGACCATCCAGAAGCAGCCGCTCACACTGACGGTCCAACCCAGTGAGTGGCGGCACGGCGGCGATTGCCGGCGGTGTGTGTGTGTGTGTATGTGTGTGTGTATGTGTGTGTGTGTATGTGTGTGTGTGGTGTGTGTGTGTGTGTATGTGTGTGTATGTGTGTGTGGTGTGTGTGTGTATGTGTGTGTATGTGAGGAGCTCACAAATCCTTGAAAGATCTGGGCAAAGTCCCATCGGTGAGCTCCTCCGGCAGGCGAGGCTGCGTTGGCTGGGTCATGTAGCCCGCATGCCCAGCCACCGCATGCCTAAACAGCTTTTGTTCGGCCGGATCGAGGGGGCTAAACGGGCGCGGCACGGGCTAGAGAAGAGATGGAGTGATGTGGTACAGGAGGACGTGGAGCTGAGTGGACTTGCCGATGACTGGTACCAGCGGTGTCAAGATCGGCCTCAGTGGAGGAGGCTCGTGAAGGACGCTACTGAGCAGTTGGAGGCAGTCGCCCTACAACAACAACGGAGGGCGGAGGAGCGACGCTCACAACAACGAGCAGAGCGCCGGGTGGCTAAAGCACAGCAAGTTGGTACAGTAGGGGGCACAGGTGGTGCATCAGCCAGTCATCTCGGTCATCTTGGTCAGTCGACCCGTGGCACCTGCTGGGTCTGCCCCGTGACCTCCTGCCAGCGGGCGTTCGACACTTCACGTGGCCTGAAGGTGCACTTGGCCTGGCACAAGCGTCGTGGTGACGTCACCGCCACTTAGTGGCGAATGGCGGTTGTTGTTGGTGTGGTGTGTGTGTGTGTGTGTGTGTATGTGTGTGTGTATGTGTGTGTGTATGTGTGTATGTGTGCGTGTGTATGTGTGTGTGTATGTGTGTGTGTGTATGTGTGTGTGTATATGTTTGTGTGTATGTGGCCTCAAGGTGCACATGGCCTGGCACAAGCGTCGTGGTGACGTCACCGCCACTTAGTGGGGAATGGCGGTTGTTGTTGTTGTATGTGTGTGTGTGTATGTGTGTGTGTATATGTGTGTATGTGTCTGTGTGTATGTATGTGTGTGTATGTGTGTGTGTGTATGTGGCCTCAAGGTGCACATGGCCTGGCACAAGCGTCGTGGTGACTTAGTGGCAAATGGCGGTTGTTGTTGTTGTATGTGTGTGTGTGTATGTGTGTGTGTATATGTGTGTGTGTATGTGTGTGTATGTGTGTGTGTATGTGTGTGTGCGCGTGTGTGTGTGCGTGTGTGTGCGTGCGTGTGTGTGTGTGGTTGTGGGGAGCGCGATAAAGTTAAATTCCCACTCACAGCCAACACACCGGTGACGATTATCTGAACCGGTCCTGGGCCTCCCCCAGGTCGACTCGGCCTCAAATGAGTACCTGGTGCGGTGTGTAAACATCGCCACTAGGGGGACAAAGGCAGTTGGGCGTTAGCTACCCACCCCCTCGTGTGCCGTGCCGGCCTTCATAAGTGTGCGCTAACAGCACTTGCCCCAACAATCTGTTAAGGCAATACGGGGGATCTTTCTGTTTGTGGAAAGAGTGGAGACTTTCCCATACCTGGTAAGTGTGCTCATGACTGACTTCGGTTTGACAGCAGAGTCTCACTCCGAATCCGTTGGGTGGAATTAGCTGTGTGGAAGCTTCCTGGTCTGTCGCTCCACACTAAGCTTCAGGTCTTCTCGGCCACAGTCATGCCCTCCCTTCTCTATCCTTACAACACGTGGACCCCCTCCCCCCCCAAATGAAACATCTTTGCCGGTTAGAAACATTTAGGCTGGCCTGCCTTTGATCCATCCTGGGATAACCAGACTGGATTGCGTGAGGAGCTCACAAATCCTGAAATGATCTGGACCAAGTCCCATTGATGAGCTCTGGCAGGCAAGGCTGCATTGGCTGGGTTATGTAGCCTGTATGCCCAGCCACCGCATGCCTGAACGGATTTTGTTCAGCCGGATAGATGGGGCTAAACGGGTGCAGCATGGGCTAGAGAAGAGGTGAAGTGATGTGGTACAGGAGGATGCGGAGCTGAGTGGACTTGCCAATGACTGGTACCAGCGGTGTCAAGATTGGCCTCTGGAGAAGGCTCGTGAAGGAGGCAGTCGCCCTCCAGCAACAACGGAGGGCGGAGGAGCGACGCTCACAACGAGCGAAGCGCCGGATGGTGAAAGCACAGCAAGTTGGCACAGGTGGTGCATTGACCAGTCATCTCAGTCAGTCGACCGTGGCACCTGCTGGGTCTGCCCAGTGACCACCTACCAGCGATCGTTCGACACTTCACATGGCTTCAACGTGCACATAGTCTGGCACAACGAAAGCAGCCGTCCTCAGGTGAAGAACAGGTCTGTCGGAAAGACAGCGTCTTTCTTCACCTGAGGACAGCTGCTTGCATTGTGGCCAAAACGTCGTGAGAATTATTTTATTATGTTTTATTTGCATTATTTTATTACTTCCCTTCTTCGTGATGACTTTACCGAAAGAACCAAGAAGATGAATCCCTGCAGTCACGAAAGCTTTAAATCGAAACACGAGGGGAATGTTCGATTGAGATTGGCCCTCCCCCCACGGCACGGCTGCTCACCACAGCGTTACCGTCTGGCACCAACGAGGAGGCAGGGATGTTTTTTCCAGATTTAACAAAGAGTCCCCATATAGCCTTAACAGACTTTTGGGGCAAGTGCTGTTAGCGAGCACCGATAAAGGCCAGCACTGCACACAAGGGGGTAGCCAACACCACGCCTGGCCACCTTTGTCTCCCTGGTGGCGATGTTTACTACACACCGCACCAGGTACTCATTTAAGGCGGAGTCGACCTAGGGGAGGCCCAGGACCGGTTCAGATAACTGTCACCGGGGTTGGCTGTGAGCGCGAATTGAACTCGGGTCGCCAGGTTCGTAGCGCAGCGTAGCGCTAACTGTTATGCTAAAATCTACCCATTCCCACACAGACACACTCATACACATACATGAATCCGCACGCATATACACACCTCGTCCATCGAAGATGGCTCTTTGGGACATTCTGTCTACAGGAAAGCCACCCACACAGATTCCTATCTGAAACCTGAATCCCGCCACCATCTGGCACGGAAGAATTCCCTCCTCAAAACACTGCACCATAGGGCCCACTGCATTTCTGACCAACACCACCTCGCCAGTGAATTGGAACACGACCACCAGGCCCTCAAGATGAATGGGTACTCGGACCACATTATTCGCAAAGCTGTTTCTCCAACCATGGAGTAACAACCCCCTGAGACGCCGATCAAAACCATAACGTTACCAAACATAGCAGGCGTTATCAAAAAGTTTTCCAAAATCTTAAACAAACACAAGATCCAGGTCCGATTCAATACAGTACACAAAATCCGGGATCTATTCCCATCTGTGAAGGATGTCATTTCTGACTTGCAATACCCTGGAGTCTACAAACTAAGTTGCATCTGTGGTGATTGTCACATTGGGGAAATGAAACGTCATGTCTCTGACCGTATCCGCGAGCACAAGGCAGATCTGAGACACGGCAGAACTAATTCCTCCGCCGTTGCTGACCATTGCTACAACGCTGTGGGCTCTCGTGATATTGTTTTCTCCAAGACAAAGGTGCTCTGCAAGCCGTCTGGCTACCATCAAACATTTGTTCATGAAGCCATGCAGATATATAAACATAAGCATAACTTCAAGCGAGAGGATGGATACAAATTGAGCAATCATTGGAAAGATGTTATTAACCAGGTTAAAGGTAACTGTTCATAGTTCCATCTTATTTACTGGGTAGTAGTCTGTTTTTAAATCCTTTATATTAAGTTCACTTGCTTGCACGCTTAGGACCGTGCAAATCTTTCGGTCGTTTTTTAACCCACTTCCCGTGATCCAATCGAGCTGACATTTTGCACACAGACTCGTTGTGCGTGACAATTTATTTTCGTGAAAAAATTTTCCCAAAATTTTACACTGTTTAGGTTATTTTTTTACATATTTAATTACCAATTGCTTAATGGTGGCAGACAATCATCTGACCCATAGGTGGCAGCCATCTCAAGCCAGAGGACGAGAGGACTCTAGCCGCATATAAAGGATTTAGAGTGAAAAACTTTGTTTTTACGGGTTCATTTTTACCGAGTTAATTGCATCCTCAGCGTTTAGCAGTGCGGCTTTTGTTTTGAGCGCTATCATCTGTTTTGGCTGCAATCGTGTCGCTGCTTTGCCCCCCCCCCCGCACATCCAGGCACCGCATCCTCTTACTTCTAGCCCCCCGCCCTGCCCAGTCTCACGTCCCAGTCCCTAGCGCACACGCAAAGCTCCCCCCTCCCCTTGTTCCCTCCCCCCCCCACCGTCCTCTCTGACTTACATGGACCCCTTAACTCCGGCATCTCTCCAACTTCAGTAAAAATGTTCTCGCTGTGGTTGTCACACCTGATGATGATTGCTTGTGTTGCAATCTAAACGTCGTCATTTATTTTTTTTTGTTATTCTTCACCTACGTGACTTTACCGAAAGACCCAAAGAGTACCGCGAGTCGTCCGCTGATTGTGGAGCCTGCGGGTGACACGAGCAGCAAGCTGGTGCTTCGGGGAGACGCACTGCTGCTGGTGTGCATCGTACAAGGGCTGTAAGTACATGCACTATACACTATACACTACACTATACACTACACTATACACTACACTATACACTATACTACTATACACTATACTACTATACACTACACTATACACTACACTATACACTACACTACACTATACACTACACTACACTATACACTACACTATACTACTATACACTACACTATACACTATACTACTATACACTACTACTACACTATACTACTATACACTATACACTACACACTATACACTACACTATACACTACACTATACACTACACTATACACTACACTATACTATACACTACACTATATTCTTTGGGTCTTCCGGTAAAACCACGTAGAGAGAAAAATTATAAAAAAATATTACGACGTTTCAATCGCAACACGAGCAATCGTCATCAGGTGAAACAAAATTGCGGGAGAGCTGCTGAGGCAGCCGTTGATGAACCTCCCTCAGCGGCTCTGATGACGATTGCTCGTGTTGCGATCGCAACGTCGTGATATTTGTATTATTGTCTATCTACATGGCTTTCCCGAAAGAGCCAAAGAATGTGAATTCCTGCAGTCACGAACGCTTTAAGTCACTCCACTATACACCAGATACTATACACGATAGGCCTCGGCAAGGTACAAGGTGAAAGTGTAAAAACAACGAGCCTACCTTTACCCTACCTTTTACCTTACCACAATACAATCACTCTACCCTTACCTTTTACCCTTTAGCAGGTAAGGTACAAGGTAAAAAGCAACGAGCCTACTTTTTACCCTACCCTTTACCCTTACCCCTTGGCATGCCGACACCTTTACCCTTTTACCCGGTAAAAATGGTACAATTACCTTACCTTGCCGAGGCCTGATACACGACGCTACTGAACAATACACGTGCGTGCGCGTAGCCCCACACCGCGGGTGAGCTGGGTCAAGGTGAGCGGGGAGCTCCCACAAGACCACGTCACCTTCGGCGACTTCAACCGGATGCTGGTGATTCGGCACGCATCGTTGGGCGACGCCGGTGTCTACCAGTGCCGTGCCGGCAACAGCGAGGGCCAAGCTCTGCACACCGTCACCGTCACCGTGGAAGGTGCCTCTCGGGGCGACGGAGGGAGGAGCGGTGGAACGGCGGTTAGCGGGTCCTGGCGGCGATTATCTCAACCGCTCCTGAGGCCTCCCCTAGGTTGGCTCGGCCTCAAACGAGTACCCCGGTGCAGTGTGTGTAGCGGTAAACTTCGCTGCTGGAGAGACAAAGGCGGCCGGGCGTGGTGCTGGCCACCCACCCCCTCGTGTGCCACCAGAGGTGCTGCTACTCGCTAACAGAACCTGTCCCTACTGTTACAGGCTGCGTGGGGCATTTTTGTCTTGGTGTTTCCACGTGTGGCAAATTTCCTCCACCACCACCACCCTCCTCCCCTCCTTGTTTTCTCGGCCGCGACAGCCAAGCCTTACTGGATCGCTCCGGGGCGAGTGAAGCATGTCTACGCCCCGTGGGACTCCGTGAAGCTCGCGTGCCTCGCCAACGGAATCCCTAAACCGGTCGCCCGATGGTTCATCAACGGCGTCCCGATCGACGGTGAGACGCCGGGGCTGTGAACGGGGAGCGGCCGACCTCCCGCTCGCTGACTTGGCTCGCTCGCTCACAGCCAATCACAGGGCCATGCTCGCAGCTCAGTCAACCAATCACAGAGCATACCGAATTAAGCCAAATTGTGAAAAATTCACGATGCCAAATAATGCCAAGTTTGACCAGATGACGCCAAAAGGCGCACAACCCATGTGAGACTAGGCTCTAAGGAAAGCTGTCTTGGGTGTGGACCAATCAACTTCAAGGACAGTGCATACATTATCAGAGTTATGTTTTTTGTTTGCATTACGACTGCAGGTATTGTGGTCAATGCAAACATGACTCCTTGTAAAAAGGTGTCAGTTTTGTTGCCAGATAGAAGGGTAAAAAAACAATTATCATATTTTTCTACTGGCAAATGAGGTTCCAATGGTGTTAAGCCAAATTGTGAAAAATTCACGATGCCAAATAATGCCGAGTCGTAACTAACTTTGCCATTCTTCCAAATCGTGCCAAGGCCGCACCAAACCGTGCCGAGTGTCGTGTCGTTGTGCGGTGGAGCAGAGGCCCCCGCTGTGCCCTGGCGAAGCGTGGACGGCGACTTCCTGACGCTCAGGGGGCTGCACAAGGGATACACCGCCATGTACCAGTGTGAAAGCTCCAACCGGCACGGCACCATCCTAGCCAACGTCATCGTTCAAGTGCTGGGTGAGCGGGGGGGGGGCGGGAGGGGGGGCCAGGCCGGCCCCCTCCAATCCAGCAGCGGTCTTCTTGACCACGTTCGTGCCCTCCCTTCTCTCGCTTGCGAAACGTCCATTCCGTTAATGGAACATCTTTGCCAGTTAGAAACCTTGAGGCTGTCTTGCCGATGATCCATCCGGGTTTCACCAAGCCGGATTGTGTGAAGAGCTCACAAATACTTGAAAGAACTGGACAAAGTCCCATCAGGGAGCTCCTCCTGCAGGCTGTGTTGGCTGGGTCATGTAGCCCGCATGCCCAGCCACCGCATGCCCAGCCACCGCGTGCCCAGCCACCACGTGCCCATTCACCGCATGCCCAGCCACCGCGTGCCCAGTCACCGCATACCCAGCCACCGCATGCCCAGCCACCGCGTGCCCAGCCACCGCGTGCCCAGCCACCGCGTGCCCAGCCACCGCTTGCCTCAACAGATTTTGTTTGGCCAGATAGAGGGGGGCTAAAAGGGCATTCCCTTGTCATTCGGCTCTGTCTCCTCACTCGCTATCTTCCCCCCCCCCCCCCTTAGGTAAACCGCTCCCCACAGTCGCTGGCAGCAGCTCGGAGCCGGGAGCGGTGCCACGCGGTGAGCTGGCGTGGCCCAGCACCACGCCGGACGGCAGCAGCAGTGGCCTCTGGGGCGCCACCACCACCACCACTGCCGCCACCAATGCCGCCACCACCACCGCCCACACCACCACCACTGCCACCACCAATGCCGCCACCACTGCCGCCACCACCACCGCCCACACCACAACCACTGCCGCCACCACCACCACCGACACCACCACCACTGCCGAAACCACCACTGCCGAAACCACCACCACCACTGCCGCCACCACCACTGCTCACACCACCACTGCTCACACCACCACCACTGCCGCCACCACCAATGCTGCCACCACTGCCGCCACCACCACTGCCCACACCACAACCACTGCCGCCACCACCACCGCCGACACCACCACCACTGCCGAAACCATCACCACTGCCGCCACCACCACTGCCGCCACCAATGCCACCACCAGCGCCACCACCGCCGACACCACCACCGCCCACACCACCACCACCGCCGCCACCATCACCGCCGACACCACCACCACCACTGCCGCCACCACCACCACTGCCACCACCACCAATGCCGCCGCCAACACCACCACCACCGCCGCTGCCACCACCACCAATGCCACCACCACCGCTGCCACTGCCGCCACCACCACCACCACTGCCGCCACCACCACCGCCGCCACCACCACCACCACCAATGCCACCACCACCACTGCTGCCACCACCACTGCCGCCACCAATGCCGCCACCACTGCCACCACCACTGCCGCCACCACCACTATAACCGTCGCCGCAAACACCGCCAGCAACGCCACCGATACCACCACCACAAGTACGCGTCACCGCTACGACGGCATGAGCACACCATCACCACGCACGCCGCCAGCCGGCGTCGGAAGTGCCAACGCTGGTGAGTCCCTCTCCCCCCTTCTGCCGTGACCGCAGTGACGCCGAAATGTGAACTGCCTCGCCTGTTACACATTCTGGCGAATTGCCCGATGATGCTGGATGCAATTATGATTCCAAAGAACACAGGATGAGATGTTATTATCCTTTGTGCAAGCACTTCCAAGAGTTCATGAACAGTGAGCCTGGTGAAATTTGGGGAGCGCATCGTCAGTAGTGAACCTTTGGGTCCTAGGGTGTTTCGGCCTTTCATACTATACACCCTCCCCAAAGGCGGCCAGCGACAGGGTGATCAATCCTACGCTTGCGTCCCATTCCCAATTAGTCATAGGAGTTGCCTTGTTGTTGATAGCCAACATCCCATGGGACTATGCATGGCAGGGGCGTCCTCCTCCCTGAGTCAAGCATTGTTGACTGCATACCTCCTGGCCCTCTCACTTTGGGGCCCAGCTGGGGTCTTTCCTCTTCATCCAGAGCCACTGACTGCTGCCTTCTGCCGCCTCCGATACAGCTCTGATTGCCGAACGCTGGCTCTGGCCCTTAATTCCCAGGTCTCTAAGCAGTCTGGTTGTAGATGTTGAACAAAATTACCACAGAAAACGTCGTACTCAAATTGTAAATGTTGTGGCTTCAACACACCGGTGGGCTAAAGCAGTGAACTATTTGTCTTTTGTCAACGTGACACTTTTTTACTTATTGGCCGTGTCGGGTGGTGGAGGGTTATGACACATTTATAAATAACGCGATCTAAACCCAAAAACGTTGATTATGAATAACATTGGTCGCGAAAGCCTACGTGTTAAACTGTTACACAGGAGTTTGTGGGTTGAATCCCGACGATGGCTGTGTGTTTGTAGTTTGCGTGTCTCTCTCCCTGAGGTTTGCATGGATTTCCTACACAATTGGAAGTAAAAATTCGTGGGAAAAGTCCACAATGTTTTTTATTTACCCAACAGCTGAAATAGAGGCAGATGAATCATTGTGCAAAAGATGGCGATGGCTTGTGGAGTCTCCGGCGGGGGGTTCATTTATCAGTAGATGGATCGTGGCCGCTAATTATGAAAGACAAACCAATCCCACGGGGTCAGCACTGCAGTAAAATATATCTGGGCCAGTTCTTTTATGGAGATCAAAGGTCATTGGTTGTGGCATGGGCGACCTATAACGTCCCCGGCTGCTGTACTTTCCTCTGCCTCTCGTTCTTCACGTTCTGCAGATGTAGATGCCACTGGTTCTTCACGTTCTGCAGATGTAGATGCCACTGGTTCTTCATGTTCTGTAGATGTAGATGCCACTGGTTCTTCACGTTCTGTAGATGTAGATGCCTCTCGTTCTTCACGTTCTGTAGATGTAGATGCCACTGGTTCTTAATGTTCTGTAGATGTCACTAGTTCTTCACGTTCTGCAGACGTAGATGCCACTGGTTCTTAATGTTCTGTAGATGTAGATGTCACTGGTTCTTCACGTTCTGCAGATGTAGATGCCACTGGTTCTTAATGTTCTGTAGATGTAGATGTCACTGGTTCTTCACGTTCTGCAGACGTAGATGCCACTGGTTCTTCACGTTCTGCAGATGTAGATGCCACCAGTTCTTCACGTTCTGTAGATGTAGATGCCACTGGTTCTTCACGTTCTTTTGATGTAGATGCCTCTCGTTCTTCACGTTCTGCAGATGTAGATGCCTCTCGTTCTTCACGTTCTGCAGATGTAGATGCCTCTCGTTCTTCACGTTCTGCAGATGTAGATGCCTCTCGTTCTTCACGTTCTGCAGATGTAGATGCCTCTCGTTCTTCACGTTCTGCAGATGTAGATGCCTCTCGTTCTTCACGTTCTGCAGATGTAGATGCCTCTCGTTCTTCACGTTCTGCAGATGTAGATGCCACTGGTTCTTCACGTTCTGCAGATGTAGATGCCTCTCGTTCTTCACGTTCTGCAGATGTAGATGCCACTGGTTCTTCACGTTCTGTAGATGTAGATGCCACTGGTTCTTCACGTTCTGTAGATGTAGATGCCACTGGTTCTTCACGTTCTGCAGATGTAGATGCCACTGGTTCTTCACGTTCTGCAGATGTAGATGTCACCAGTTCTTCACGTTCTGCAGATGTAGATGTCACCAGTTCTTCACGTTCTGCAGATGTAGATGCCACTGGTTCTTCACGTTCTGGAGATGTAGATGCCTCTCGTTCTTCACGTTCTGCAGATGTAGATGCCACTGGTTCTTCACGTTCTGCAGATGTAGATGCCACTGGTTCTTCACGTTCTGGAGATGTAGATGCCACTGGTTCTTCACGTTCTGTAGATGTAGATGTCACCAGTTCTTCACGTTCTGTAGATGTAGATGCCACTGGTTCTTAATGTTCTGCAGATGTAGATGCCACTGGTTCTTCACGTTCTGCAGATGTAGATGCCACTGGTTCTTCACATTCTGCAGATGTATGTGTCTCTGATTCTTCACGTTCTGTAGATGTAGATGTCACCGGTTCTTCACGTTCTGTAGATGTAGATGCCACTGATTCTTCACGTTCTACAGGTGTAGATGCCACTGGTTCTTCACGTTCTGCAGATGTAGATGCCACCAGTTCTTCACGTTCTGTAGATGTAGATGTCACCAGTTCTTCACGTTCTGTAGATGTAGATGCCTCTCGTTCTTCACGTTCTGTAGATGTAGATGCCACTGGTTCTTAATGTTCTGTAGATGTAGATGTCACTGCTTCTTCACGTTCTGCAGACGTAGATGCCACTGGTTCTTAATGTTCTGTAGATGTAGATGTCACTGGTTCTTCACGTTCTGCAGATGTAGATGCCACTGGTTCTTAATGTTCTGTAGATGTAGATGTCACTGGTTCTTCACGTTCTGCAGACGTAGATACCACTGGTTCTTCACGTTCTGCAGATGTAGATGCCACCAGTTCTTCACGTTCTGTAGATGTAGATGCCACTGGTTCTTCACGTTCTTTTGATGTAGATGCCTCTCGTTCTTCACGTTCTGCAGATGTAGATGCCTCTCGTTCTTCACGTTCTGCAGATGTAGATGCCTCTCGTTCTTCACGTTCTGCAGATGTAGATGCCTCTCGTTCTTCACGTTCTGCAGATGTAGATGCCTCTCGTTCTTCACGTTCTGCAGATGTAGATGCCTCTCGTTCTTCACGTTCTGCAGATGTAGATGCCTCTCGTTCTTCACGTTCTGCAGATGTAGATGCCACTGGTTCTTCACGTTCTGCAGATGTAGATGCCACTGGTTCTTCACGTTCTGCAGATGTAGATGTCACCAGTTCTTCACGTTCTGCAGATGTAGATGCCACTGGTTCTTCACGTTCTGTAGATGTAGATGCCACTGGTTCTTCACGTTCTGGAGATGTAGATGCCTCTCGTTCTTCACGTTCTGCAGATGTAGATGCCACTGGTTCTTCACGTTCTGCAGATGTAGATGCCACTGGTTCTTCACGTTCTGGAGATGTAGATGCCACTGGTTCTTCACGTTCTGTAGATGTAGATGTCACCAGTTCTTCACGTTCTGTAGATGTAGATGCCACTGGTTCTTAATGTTCTGCAGATGTAGATGCCACTGGTTCTTCACGTTCTGCAGATGTAGATGCCACTGGTTCTTCACATTCTGCAGATGTATGTGTCTCTGATTCTTCACGTTCTGTAGATGTAGATGTCACCGGTTCTTCACGTTCTGTAGATGTAGATGCCTCTCGTTCTTCACGTTCTGTAGATGTAGATGCCACTGGTTCTTAATGTTCTGTAGATGTAGATGTCACTGCTTCTTCACGTTCTGCAGACGTAGATGCCACTGGTTCTTAATGTTCTGTAGATGTAGATGTCACTGGTTCTTCACGTTCTGCAGATGTAGATGCCACTGGTTCTTAATGTTCTGTAGATGTAGATGTCACTGGTTCTTCACGTTCTGCAGACGTAGATACCACTGGTTCTTCACGTTCTGCAGATGTAGATGCCACCAGTTCTTCACGTTCTGTAGATGTAGATGCCACTGGTTCTTCACGTTCTTTTGATGTAGATGCCTCTCGTTCTTCACGTTCTGCAGATGTAGATGCCTCTTGTTCTTCACGTTCTGCAGATGTAGATGCCTCTCGTTCTTCACGTTCTGCAGATGTAGATGCCTCTCGTTCTTCACGTTCTGCAGATGTAGATGCCTCTCGTTCTTCACGTTCTGCAGATGTAGATGCCTCTCGTTCTTCACGTTCTGCAGATGTAGATGCCTCTCGTTCTTCACGTTCTGCAGATGTAGATGCCACTGGTTCTTCACGTTCTGCAGATGTAGATGCCTCTCGTTCTTCACGTTCTGCAGATGTAGATGCCTCTCGTTCTTCACG